ATGAAGTAGGGATGTCACTGAGAGACTGCGTGTGTTTGATGGAGTTCCACAAGCTTAGAAACGTGACTATAAATACAGCATGTAGTGTTGGTGTTGACCCTCATTTCAAATCAGAGTGTATGCGTGTGTTTTGTCCTGTCAAAAAAACTGTGAGTTTCTCTCATTTTAAACAGCTCAAGTGTATAATATGTGTTTGTATGTTATTTTGTTAAGCTGCTGGTCCCCTTTAACTCACATTCCCATTAAAAGTCTGACCCCAGCTGTGAGAGAAAAGCAATACGTGTGTGTGTGTGTGTGTGTGTGTGTGTGTGTGTGTGTGTGTGTGTGTGTCAGCAGGTGACCAAATTGTGTTTTTGTGAGCCTATCAGTACAATGCCTTTTATGCCTGAAGCGCTTCTCTGCAGTCTCTTATTACAGTGACATATGTGTGTGTGTGTGTGTGTGTGTGTGTGGTAGTGGGTGTGAGAGCGAGGCTGATCTCACACACACCCACAGCAGCAGCGTGAAATGTGTTGTGATGTCTCCTCTATGGGAAGCTGGTCTCAGACTGCAGAGGAGACGCTCCCCTTCTCCGACCTGCTCAGACTCATTGTCCTGCTGCGACACACAAACACACACATGCACACAGACATGCGTACACTGAGTACAATAACAACTTTCTTCCCACCCTTACATATTCTGTTTCTATCCCCTAACTTGTAACCATTTGGAAACACTAGGTATTCAGAGTTCACTGAGGGAATCAGTTCCAATTCTTGGAAAAAGGGGAACCAAAATCACCCAGAAACAGCTTGTGTGATCTAACAAATGATTGCAGACGATCAAAATTGTCAGACTTTTTTTCGCTCCGTAATAAAATCTTACTGATCATATTTTTACAGTGCGGCATGATCAAGGCCATTTGGAGGAGAAGACTCTACAGCAATGTGAGGGAGCGAGAACAATTGAAAGCTAACATGAGGTTGAGATACGTGATGATTATGCAGTGGCACTTTGGATTAGGCGTGTTTAAATCCACTTAAAGCCACTGGAAAAATGATAAGGCCTTTTTTCTGTATATCCTACAACCAAAATATAGGTCATACAGAGCCGTGCGGAGATGGAGAGTTGCTGCGTGTAGGCACACACATGTGCAGGAGTGTTGTGTTCACTACAAAGAAATCACACACATGCACAAAATCCAACCACCGCCACCATCACCACTTTACCGTCTCCCAGGGCAACAAGACCGGAATCTACCAAGAGGCATGTTGAGAATGAAGGAGAGGAGAGGAGAGGAGAGGAGAGGAGAGGAGAGGAGAGGAGAGGAGAGAATGAAAGGACGCAGAGATAGACAGGCACAAAAGATAACCCAATCTGCCAAGACTTATTCTAATACAGCTGCTAGAAGGAGGATACTATAGGAATAATATCCCTGCTGTGAGACGTACGTGTGTGTGTGTGTGTGTGTGTGTGTACAAAGAGAAGGATGACATGACTATTGACTGGCTGGCATTAATACTGAGAGTTATATCTAGGCATTACAGGCAAGAAATTGAGAAACGTTCACAACTACATCGAGTATTTCCTGCGTCAGATTTGTTCAGAAACCAGTTTCTGTGTTTCTGGGATGTTTTAGATCTCATAAATGACCTAAATTCGCTTAAAAATAAGCTGTCTCAATTTTATACTGCAAGAAATTGGTATCTAACTTTAACAAAGTCTAACTAACCAATCACGTCACAATCTAGTCCATGCTTTCACAGTCTTTATCGACAGTTCCTGTAATTAGGATAAACATCAAAAGTGAGCAAACTCAAGACATGCATATAATGCTCAGATGTATTAAAAATCAATACATCTATCCTTATCAAGTTAAATGTGACAGCTAATGATGACATGGATAGAAGCTATAAGCTCACAGTCTCCAGTCTGATCTAGAAGTATTTGACAGTTTCTGCATAATCAACATTATGTTAATTAATTTTGAAAATCAGAAGAGCAGCGACAGGCAAAGGACTGTCACAGGAGCCTCGAGTGCTGGTCGGGTCATCGATGAATAAAAGAAATGTCACATAGAAGGACTACTGCTCCCTGTCAATTTATCCTGCTGGGAACCAATACTTTAGTCGCGTAAACATGCCACAATTCTGAAATCATGCCGATACTTTTCTTCTATTGTAATGAAAATACCAAAGGTACTATGGTGCTGTATTATGTCGAGAAAATCAACAACACCAACAACGTGCGAAATTGCGGTAACAGGTGCAGAAACCCACTTAGAAAAAAACAAACAACAACAAAAAAAACACCATGTACGGAGACGGTTAGCCTTTGAGTCAGACGTTAACGGACAAGTAACAGACAAGCAGAAGCTTAGCGGTAGATGGAACGATGGAAATACCTGCAGCTTATACACGCAACTCAAAGACAGACAGCCAGATCTGTACACAAAATTCAAGGCGAGCAAGTGTCAGTTGTTTTGAACATTACATTAGCAACACTTAGTGAAAATGTTGATCTCCTGAAATGTTACCGCTGCATCTGTTGTACCAAGGCTCCGCGTGCAACACTCACAAGGGTTAATGTTAGCTGGTTTAATGTGGCTACAACTCTAAGTCCGTCTAGTTCATGCCATCTGTCAAACTGCTTTACGGTTATTACTGCCATCCTCGGAATTGAGGTGCGAATACGAATGGGTACCATGCTACATGCTCTGTTCTCCTGGTAAGACTGGTCTTTGTAAAAAAAAATGAAATATCACCATATGTCCCACATGGCCTGAGCTCAGCTGCAGCAGTTGTTTTAGTTATAGCTCATAACTTGAGCTGGATTGTGCCCATGATGTTGTAGGCTACTGTCATTTCTGTTCAATCAGTCAATTGCTAATTTTTAAAATGCATTAAATCGACTTATTATTTTGGTATCAAAATGGTTATCGGCAACCACGGAAAGTCAGCGGTACCAAGGTTTTGGTATGAAAACATCCTCTGCCTACCATGCCATGATGAGTTTGCTCGGCAAACCTTCACTTTATTCTTCTCGCTGTTACATTCTAGCTCTTCTCCATGCTGTGCCCCCCTGCCTATTCTCCAAAATTACATGTTCCTCTTCATCCTGCTCCTCTTAATCAAATCTGTCCCATCTTTTCTCCTCCTCCTTCTCCTCGGCTCCTTGGTGATATTTGGTTTTGGGGAGGGGACACAGTGGCAGAGTTGGCATCTGCCGGAATGGATGGCGTGTTGCCAGCCACTGAGCCTCACTCCAGCAGCCAGAGTCACGCTGTTGGATTTATCTCCAACCAACCTGTCAGCTGATGCTCTACGTGGGCGTGAGACGAGTGGGCACAACCTTTCTGCCATTCGCACTGCCAAGGTGCCCACAGGAGATTTTAAAAAATAGGGGGAGGAAAGCCCCTTAGTGAGTGTTACAATGCTGAAGAAGTGAGACAGCTTTTTAGAAAGAAGCACTTCCAACACAGGCTGAGGGCAGAAGCTCTCACAGAACAGAGAGCGCAAGGCGGGTAGGAAGGCAGAGAGGGAGCAAGAGATGGAAGAGCGTATGAGGCACAGCAAGAAGGAAAAACAGTAGATAAAGGTTGAGAGTGAGCAGGAGGAGAGATGGGAGAGAGTGACGGAGAGCCCAGGAGGAAAGCATACCCACATCTGAAGCTTACAGGGTATGTAGCAAAGAGAGTGAGGAGGGGGGGGAAAAAAGAAGTGGAGCACATTTCTACCAGAGACAAAGTGGCTCGCTCAGAAGAACAGCCTGTCACCTGGTGGCTTAAGTAACATTTTCAAATTCTCTTTGAGCAACACTTCCACCAAAACAACAAAGTAAACCCCACCTGTTAGAGAGAAGGGGAGCTCATTAAAATCTAGCTCTGCTTTCATCAAGCATTGCCCACTAAATGTCCAATAATCCCAATCAGGCTCTGCAGTCAATGAGACGCGCTTGGAAATGTCACGGCATTCATGCTGGGAACTCCCAGGATATTCAGCGGCAGCCACCATGGTAGGCATGCGTGATGAGAGGATCGTGTCTTTGGTGCGCTGGTCCCCGAGATAAGTGATGAATCAATTGGCCAGTAATATAACCATTCAAGCAATTAGTACCGTGACAAATTTATAAGCGATGATTACTTGGCTAGTTGTCCATGCAATTTCTAGCGAGGAATAGATTGAGCCGTAGTTTAACCACAGTCATATACTGACAGTGTCATTCACACATAATCCAGGATATGATATACGCAATTCTGAATTTAAACTGTAATTACAAAAAAAAAAACCTGCCCACAGAAGCAGAGGCACCCTAGACACTGGAAAAGCAGCCAATTTGTGATCAGCCATATCTGACAGCCACAGTATTTGCATTAGGACAGCCTAGCATTACTCAGCATTTAGATGTCATGACATGTAACGATGCAATTTTATCACCCTATTTCAGAAATGACACAATCGGTGATGCCATTATATATGCAAAGCATCATGAGACGATACAGCAGGGGGAAGGGTCTCGCTGATAACAGGACTGACATTATCTCTACACAGCCACAGGAAGATAAGGGTAATAGTAATAATAATATGAAAAGACCCCGCTCTGACCGAGAAGGGCCACGGCTCTGCTGGTGCCTGTGCTTCGGATGGGAAATTGGTAAGAAATTAGGAAAATTCCTGCAGCCATGTGACTTTGATCCAGGATCAGCATTTACTGCTCTGACGTCTGTAGACTGAACGGGAGATTCCAGAGGGGCCCCCAAACAACAACGATAAGGAGCTTATTCTCAGTATATCTTCACTCGTTTAGAAGTTACGGACGTGGATATAATGAACTATCTGCTAGCTCAAATCAAACAGCGCGTGGAAATGTTTGGGAGTCCCTTTGATTTAGGGAGCCCCGTTCGTAACACACACACACACACACACACACACACAACAGCAGGTACGTTCAAGCTCCGTGAGGCAGGAAGAAAAGACAGCGTTGTGTTTATCAGCCAGCGTGACAGACTCTGGGCTACTTACGACAGTTCTCCTCATCACTGCTGTCTGAGCAATCGTCGTCATCATCGCATCTCCACAGGGTCGGGATGCACCGTCCGTTCTTGCACTGAAACTGCCCGGTTTCACACTCCGACTCCGTATGAGTTCCTGCGTTTGCAGAGAATAACAAAGCGCTGCTGAGTTATGTGGTTCACCTACTGATGAGAACATGAAGTATAGAAGAATGTTGATATCAGAGATGGAGAATTACATGCTGAATTATGATAGTAGTCGATTTATAACCACAGGACACTGTCAACACTGAGCAGGCAAACACGTGTTTCTTAGTATTAAAGCTTGTAAACAGGGCTGCCACTGACAATCACCTAACTGTTGATAAATCGATAAATTGTTTGGTCTACAAAGTGTCAAAATTGTGACACAGTGTTTCCCAACATCCCAGATGACATCCTGAAATGTCTTGTTTTAACCTTAACAGATTAAGTTCCAGAGGAGTCAAGAAATCTGATATATTCAGATCATAGAAGTTGGAATCTGAGGGGTTTCCTTTAAAAAAAAAAACACAAAAACTGAGTAATCAATTATCAGAATAGTTTGCAATTAATGTAACCGCTGCTAACAATGAATTGTCTAATTGTAAATTGTGAAATTGCTCTTCTAAATTACACATATTTTTTAGCTTGTTGTCATAATCACTGCCTAAAACTGAGCTTTTCACTCACATCTACCAGTTTTACAATCTGACTGACACTTGTGCATTCACTGGCTTGTGTGTTGTTGATGTGTCAATATGCTGCCACAGTGGCTGCTACCACCACTGTTCAGATCTGTTCAGGGCAAAATCTATTTAACGGTAACAAAGCTGGAGCTGCAAGAGAAAAAAAAAACACACATCAAACCACTACAGCCCTACACTTTGTGCTCACAGCACCACACCATGCGTTTTCTCTTTCCCTTCTGTCAGCTGCTGCATGTGCGATCCTTTCTTCCGTGTATTGTCACCACATGTCACCGGTGATCGCGTTCAAAGCGCGGACTAAAAGTGGTGATCCAGGTGTGAGCCTTTTGCATGCCTGCGATGACAGAGGTCCCTGATGATAGGCACGTTAGCGCTGCTGCACTTAGAGGGAAAAAAAGCCCCACATTGTCAGACAAGTCGTTTCTCCGCACGATCCCCGGAGCGGCGTCTGTGTCCGCGATGCCACGCAAATTCACCCTCCTCGCGCCGACACAAGTGTTGTCTTACCTTTAGCGCAGTGGAGCTCCATGAGTAGCAAATGTAATAGCACAAGCTTCCCGACTTCTGTCCACATCGTTAGATCCTTGGGCGGTCTACGGTTTGTGTGTTCATGCAAGTGAAATAAAAAAAAAATACCAGTGAAGGATCTCCAGCCTCTCTCTCACTCACTCCGTGCTGCTCCCGGTGCCTCTGCTCGGGAGTGTGTGAGTGTGATCAGCCTGGCTCGCTGCTTTCTCTCCCTCTGCCTCGGCTGCAATTTGAATCGGTGACGCTTATGGGCGGGATAGCTGGAGCTGGTTCCTGCGGTTAGTGTAGTAGTCAGACACACTACACACTGTGTCGATGCGAGCGAGGCGAGTCACATCTGCAGAAACAGCTGAGTCACATACTGTCACGTCTCTAAAGCACACACCGAGCACTTTAGTTTCACTTCAGAAAGTCAGAAATGAAACTTTAAAGAAATAATTTACATCTGCGACATTTTTTTAACCGAGAGTTAGATGAAAAGTACATGTTTGCTAGTTAACAGGTGGTGTACACATGATCTGTTTGGTAACATAAAACCTTAGTATCACTTCAACAAAGATTCAGAAAGTCAGGAAATAAACTTCGTTCACATTCTGACATTTTGTGGCTTGGATGAAAAGACAGATGCCAGCTAACGCGTGCAGTATCCATTAGCTAAAGGATAACAGGCGCCTTAGTTTCACTTCAACTGAGGTTCACACAGTCAGAAAATAAACTTTATTATTTAAAAAAAAAATGTTACTTTATAGCTACAATTTCTGACATTTTGGGTATTTCTTGCCAAGAGTTAGATGGAAAGATAGATGCCAGCTGTACATGTTTGCTAGCTAACAGCTAAACATGAAGCTAGGTTAGCTGTTACAGCTAAGTTGTTAGCTTATACACACACAGCTAACATATAGAGTATCCATTAGCTAAAGCAGGGGTTCTCAACTGGTGGGTCGCGACCCAAAAGTGGGTCACGGACCTGTTCTGAGTGGGTCGCGGACAGCTGGTCAAAATTAAATAATATATAATGTGCGTCTCAGGTTGGACTTAATTTTTATTTTGAAAAAACTTTTATTTTGACAGGCAAGGTAACCATAGTTTGTTTGAAGTTCATTTTAAGTTTGTGTTGATATTGGGAAGCAAAATGGCAAAGGGCAAATATGACCCAGAGTATTTAAAATGTTGATTTTCATACTAGAGCTGGTTCATTCGCTGTGCTGGTATCGGGATATTCCTCCTCCAAAACAAATATGTTGTTTTGTGCCTTTTTGTGCAGTCTTGTACATGCAGTGGTCATGGTCCAGTTACTATGCATGGTTATGTGCTCTGAAATGCATGTTGCACAGGAAACTATATTGAATATTGAATTCTAAAAAAAAAAAGGGTCGCGACTTAATGACCATGGGAAAATGTGGGTCCCAGGGTGAGACCAGTTGAGAACCCCTGAGCTAAAGGATACCAGGCTCCTTAGTTTCATTTCAGCTGAGTGTCCCACAGTCAGAAAATAAACTTTGTTATAATAAATGGTTACTTTATAGTTACAATTTGTGACATTTGGGTATTTTTTGGCAAGAGTTAGACTGAAAGATAGATGCCAGCTGTACATGTTTGCTAGCTAACAGCTAATATATAGAGTATCCACAAGCTAACAGATACCAAGTACATTAGTATCATTTTAACAGAGGTTAAGAAAGTCAGAAAATACACTTTTGAAAAGGAATATTTCACTTCTATGACAATTTGTGGCTTTCTTACCAAGCGTTGGATGGAAAGATAGATGCCAGCTAGGTATGTTAGCTAGCTAACAGCTAACGATGAAGCTAGGACAGCTGTTACAGCTAAGTTGTTAGCTTATATACACATATACACACAGCTCACATATACAGTATCTATTAGCTAAAGCAGTGGTTCTTAAACTTGTTGAGCCACAAACCCCGATATAAGTTTAGGTTTGTGACCCCAAAACTCAATTTTTAATATGGCATGAGTAATAACTTTGTTGTTCATGCATTAATGCGTTAAAAAATAATGTGTTAATGTTTTCAAGTCCAAAAAAGGAATGGGAAGAAAAATACACTTTTAATTTTGACAGCCATAATACAAATTTATTTGCTAAATGTAGGCTTTATTTTATTTTTATTTTTTTAACAGTGATCTGGTGACCCCCTGAAATTATCTTGGGACCCCCATGGGGGTCCCCACCCCCAGTTTGAGAACCACTGAGCTAAAGGATACTGGACTCCTTTGTTTCACTTCAGCCAAGATTCACACAGTCAGAAATTAAACTTTGTTATAAAAAATAGTTCACAGTTCATGACATTTTGGATATTTGTTATCAAGAGTCAGAAGAAAAAATAGATGCCAATGTTACATGTTAGCTGGTTACCAAACAGTATCCATGAGCAAACTGATACCAGGTACCAAAGTTTCACTTCAACATAGGTTCAGAAAGTCAGAAAAGAAACTTTTCAAAATGAATAGTTCACATTCTGTGGCATTTTGTGGCTTTCTTACCAAGAGTTAGATGGAAAGATAGATGCCTGCTATGTGTGTTAGCTAGTTAACAGCTAAACAGTAAGCTAGAATAGCTGCTCGTGCTAAGTTGTTAGTTTATACACAAAAGGAGGAGAAACAACCAGTCTGGCTCTGCCAAAAGTTAACAAACACATTACCATTAATGGAACTGGAAGCCTAATAATTAACTGTTATATTTCCTCTGTTTAAACTCTAATAAAATATTGATGCGTAAAAATGACAACTTGTGGTTTTAACTGGTTGTATTATAGCCTGTTAGTGAGGACTCCAGTATATCACTACACCCAGTCACAAAGGACCCCTGCATGTGACATAAAACCATCAAAGCACAACCGGTCATTGTCAGACGTTTTTGTTTTTTGGGTCTGACTTGCACTGTGATTAAAGAACCCCTCTAGAAAATCATGTTTTTACCTTGTAAACATGTCCATATGGTTTTTTTTTTTCCCTGTATGCTGGAAGAAATGACAAAATTAGGCAGTCAACGCTATGACAGCATTTCCATCTTGAAGATGCCGTGTACCCACAGTAGTCCTAAAAACATGGAACCTGTTATGTAGAGCAAGTTTACCAAATATGCCAGGCCTAGTTCATTTAGGCTGACTTACTTTCAGGTTCCATTAAGCATGGGTTCGGTTATACTGGCAGCTTATACTGGGCACCCAACTTGTTCCTGGGCAGGCTACCTGTCAGGCTAACCCTGAGTTGCTGAACCAGAGTTAAGTTACCGTGACACTGACGTGACAGGAAAGCTCAGATTTACCAAAAATTGGGGTTTACTTAAACTGACATCGCTTTTCCATATGACGCTCTATGAAGGCTCGTCTTCAGCAAAGAGTTCCATCGTAGCTGAGTTTGAACTATGTTGAATTTTCTTAACGAAGCTGAAACAACCTGAAAATAAGCGAGACTGACTGAAAGAAGTCTGGTTTATCTTGTAAACTCTCTTTATTAAATAGGCCCATGAATTTTGACTTCTGGGGTGTCATACACGACAAACTTAGGAAACCATTCCTGTCAACAAACAGATTCTTCTTTAGAATTCATTTCCAGTTCAAACATGAATAGCTGAATGAGTCCAGTACTGCAGTTTTCCATTGTGTAGCATAAAATACACATACAGTGCTTAAGCAGCATCATGGGTAAGCTGGTGTGCTCCAGCTGCAACCAATAGCATTGAGGTATGTAGAGACAGTGGTGGAGACTTTACAGATGTGTACACTCCAGAGGAAGCAACAATGTGAAGTTGCATGTAAGGCATTTTAAGGCAGAAAGGGATTATTTTCTTGGCAAAAAATACATCAAGGTGAGATTTTAGGGGTTTAATCAATGACTGGAAAATGGACTTTAATACACTGAATATAAACAAACTACATTTGTCATGTGTTTTGCTTGTGCTGGTGGGTAGTTTGTAATCTTCTTTATTTATTCAAATGAAGGCTGAAGTTTTCTGAGAGATACCCAGATGTTCTTTCATAATTTTGCCCTCTATAGAGCAGGTGTGACGGAACCTCGGCTGACTTCCTGTTGGCTCCCTGCACACACAAATACATCAACTTATACTGAGTGTCTGAAACTTTTTCAGATTTTCCCTCATTTCAGTTTCTTACATAAGTATACATACAATCATAAAGATTGTTTTTAAAAAAATCAGCATCAGGGAATGTGTTTTAAACGTTCGATCAGGTGGTACGCTACAGTTGTTAGCAAATTGTATTGTGTGATGAAGTTGCAAAACCTAACTTTAGCCTTCAGTGCATTTGCTGGGGCATCATCACCTGTGGCTGATTCTCGCTCTAATGGTCAGTTTCCATTTAAAATCTTCCCTTGCACTGCTACTTTCTAATAATCTTTGAACGGGCTGATGTGTATGTGAATGGGGGAAATTTCAGAAATTGTGATAAGAAGAGTAATTTCACCCAGTTGTCAAGTTAGTACATTTTACATTAGCTGATTTTCCAATGATTGTGTGTGGAGAAAAAATGCCCTTTTGGCCAGTGTATATTACATTATGAATGTAAAAGTTGATGGGTTGTATGTTGTTTGGCTGCTAAAATTGCTGCACAGCTCAGGGTCCCAGTTCCTAATGGCTTGGTGGAGAAATTGGGGGCAGACTTAAACTGCAGGTTTCGCTCTACTCCCAGTCTTTATGCTAAGTTACCCACCTCCTGACAGCAGTTTAATATGTAGTGGACAGACACAAGTGGTGTCATGATGGTATACATCTTTGCACTTAACTTGTGACAAGAAAGGAGATCAGTATATTGCAAAAAAAAAAAAAGCCAAACTCTTCTTTTAAGCCTGTTTTGAACTCCTTTGCCGGGGACTTTGTGTACAAGGGAGGACAGAAACATGAACATAACAGATGATTTGAGTATACAAGAGGATTTGTGTCCATTTGAGCCAGCAATGAGGATTCCAACGCTGAGTGCAAACTCAGATTGAGGGCAGAGCATCAGCTGTTCGATTTCATCTGTGAGTCAAGGGTCACCCTGTTAGATCCTTCCTTCTACGTTCAAAATAAACTCCGGGGTAG